AATAAATTTTATTTAGTAAAGTTTTTACTAAAAAATTTTAGTGAATTCTTGTATTTTTATCTGCTGAGTTTGAAGCTATTGTATATCTCATATGGCTACTGTTTGAATACCATGAGAATATACTGTCAAGAACTTTTTAGGTCATCACTCACAATTTTTAAAATTTCTTTTAGTTGTAGATGGATACAAAACTTTATTTTATTTGTTTATATTTTTATGTGGTGCCGGGGATTGAACCCAATATCTCATGCATGCTAGGCAAGTACTCTACCACTGAGCCACAACTACGGCCCCATAACTAACAATTTTTATACAAACACACAACAAAGACTTAAGACTTCTTGTACTGACTTTGTCGTTTTAAGATTCTGTTATCTTGCATGGGTAATTGTTGTTCTCTTTAAAAGCCTGCATTTTCTCATCTGCAAAATAAAGAGGTTATAAAAAATAATCTTTAAGATAGAAGAGTTTATTGCTCCAAATATTGCCTTTTATTCATAGGTTTTTTGTTTTTATTTTATTCATAGGTATTTTCATTTTCGGGAGGGGGGGGGTGGTCTGGAAATTGAACCCTGGGCCTTAAATGTGCTAAGCAAAGCATGTGCTCTACCACCAAGCTTCACCCTCAGCCAAGACTCATCTTTTAGTATTGCTTCTAAGTCCACTGAGTATCTTATTCCACAAAGAAAACTGGAATGATTGTGATTTATTCTATCACTTGTTTCTTTATCTGTATAATAGAATAACAGTACCTAGCATTATTGTGTTATTCTAGAGATTAGGTAAGTAAATATGTTAGTGTTTTAAACCATGTCTAGGATATAATAAGTGCTTTGTTAAGTGTTAGCTTCTATTTTCTTTTTTCTCTCCTTTCCCCTTTTTCCTACCTTATTTATTCAATCTTACTCTTATTTTCTGCCTCTACCTCTTTCCTAGAGAACTAATATTAAATACAACTCTTTTCTTCACAAGTGGAGTATCAATGAGTATTTATTTATTGAGATCATGTCTCGCAGAGTTGTTTAGGGCCTTGCTAAGTTGTTGAGTCTGACCCCTAACTTTCGTACTTCCTGCCACAACTTCTGGGATTGCTGGATTATGGGTATGCACCATCATTTTGAGCAAATAAATATTCTTTAAAAATTTAATATATGTCAATAAGTAACAAATTATGGTAAACTTTCTAGTCTCTTAGGAAGACTGCTTTTTCCAACAATAAGTCAGACTAAACTTGAAAATACCCCCTGCTATATAATACCCAGTAGTGATGGGTAAAATATAACAACAACAACAAAAAAATGTATGTTAATGCAATGTATGCTTTTTGGTATTTGTTGAGACTGCCTCTGTAGCCTATAGTTAATTTTTACTAGGATTCCATATGTACTTTAAAACAATCTATTGCAGACGTGCAATTCTCTTCAAGATTATATTTACAAAATCAGACTTTTTATCTGAACTTTCCAAATCTTCCAAATCTTGACTTTGTTTCTTTAGTAGATTGTGAGAGAGGCATATTAAGATTTTTCAATTCAGTTCAGTCTTAGTACATTTCTGTGTATAATTATATTAATTTTTGCTTTGTGTATTTTGAGAGTGTGTTAGTATGTATAGCTCCAGGATTATTTTTACTGCGATAGATATTTCCTTTTATTGTTAAGTAATAGCCTTATTAAAATATATTAATCCATTTTTCTTTATTAATACTGTTATACCAGCTCTATTCTGACTAACATTGATCTGGTATATTTTTTCTTCTTTATTTCATTTATGTGCTATAATATTTTAGCTAAACTCTTCAAAACAGAGAATAAGTGGATATTATAAAATAGATTTTTTTTTGTTTTTTACCAGGTGATTTCAATCATTTATTATTATAATTTTGACACATTTAGATGTGGTTCTATCACTTGAGTTCACATTTTCTCTTAATCATATATTTATTGTCTTTTATCTATTTATTTTGCCAGCCTTCTCTTTGATTGATGAACTTTTTATTATTCTCTCTTCCTCAGCTTTACTGTTATATATTTTAACATGCATGTTTGAATTAACAGAGCATAAAGTTAATTTCTCTGTTGAACTTCCACACAAATAAAATCAAAATCTTAAAACTTTACCTTTTACTCTCATCTTCATTTGCACATTCTTGTACTATCTAGTATTTTAGTTTCTGTTTCTTTTTGAATACCTTCTATAGTAGGATTTTCCAGAGAAACAGAACCATTGAGTGAGAGTGAGATTTACTTTAAGGAATTGGCATACATGTTTGTGGAGGTTTAATGAGTCCAAAATTGACAGGGTATCCTGGGAGGTTAGAATCCCATGGAAGAATTGGGTTCCAAAGGCATTCTGTTGGGGTTGCTCTGCTCCTACCACACAGCGGGCCTAGGTTGTTCTGCTCCTAACGCACAGTGGAGCATTCTGTTGCTACAAGTTCTTCTTTTTCTAGAAAAGTCTGTCAGACAGTTCTATCATGACCTTCAGCTGTTTGGAAGAGGCCCACCCATATCATGGAGGGTAATCTGGTTTAAAGTCCATTGATTTAAATGTTAATTTTATCTTTAAAAATACATCAACAGAAAAGGGAGAAATTGTGGAATGGAATTGACCAAATTATGTTATATACATATATGAATATACCATAGTGAATTCCACCTTTATGTATAAATTTAAAAACATATAATACATAAATAGGAGGAAGATCAGTAAATAGAGGAAGAAAATCAGGGGGAGGGGGAAGTGAGGAAAAGAGGAAGTACTGAGCAAATTATCTTTCATTTGTGTACAGTTATGTCAAAATGAATTCCACTATTATGTATAACCATAATGGACTAATAAAATACATTTTAAAAAAACTGTCACAGAAACATCCAGAATATTATTTAACTAGATATCTGGGCACTGTTGTCAATCCAGATTAATACAATTATCAATACACGTTCCAAGATTTACTGTTACTTTCATTACTAATTTTCTGTGCTTATTTCATTTTCCAATATGTTTGCCAATATCTTTTCTCATTCTTCATTCTTATATACCACTTTTCTTTCTATGCTCAATTTTCTTTCTTTAACATATTCTTTATTCAGTGATTATTTATTGAATTTCCATTTGGTTCTTTAAAAAATATATTTGTTCTTTTTTATTGTATATTTTCTTTCACCTTTAAAAAAATCATTCTAAACATTCTTGTTTTAGATACTTTCAAATTGCAGATACTCCTTTACTTATAGTGGAATAGTATTCCCATAAACCCATTATAAATTGAAAATATTGTTAAGTTGAAACTGAATTTAATTCACCTAATCTGTGAACATCAGATTAATGAAATGTGCCTAGAATACTCAACACTAGCATACAGTTGGGCAAAAGTCACCTAATTCAAAGCCTGTTTTGTAATAAATTGTTGGATATCTCATGTAATTTTTTTGAACATGCACTGAAAGTGAAAAACAGAATGGTGGTTTGGGTACACTTTCACGCCATCATGAAGTTGAAAAGTAGTTGAGCCATTGTAGGTTGAGAACAATCTATATTCTATTTATTGTAATTGGGTATTCTGTTTGTAGTATTTAGGGCCCCTGTTGGTGGTTTATTCAGATTTTATGTTATTTTTATATTAATGATATTCACACATTGTAGTAGTGTAAATTTCAAAACTTCACATACGTACAATACTTCTAGAGGTTTTGATTTCTTGCTGGTAACTTACCCCTTTCCTTTCCAATTGAAGGTCTTAAACTAACTGGCTTCTTTGCTGCTTCTGAGTTCATGGGCCAGTGGATGTTGTTTAGTTATATTTTCATGAGTAGCAACAACTCTTTGATATTGTGAGTTTTATGAACATGCTCAGTTCTTCCTCTCTACCTGAGACCAACTGAAGGCGAATATTCTCTTCTGGCAAGGGATTTAAAGCTGTCATTCCAAGCCTTCAGCCTTTAGGGCCTAGAGTTGGTTCTGAAACCCAGGGAAGTCTCCACTTAAGCCTAGGGCTCTGACTTTGATGTCTGTTTCTAGTTTAAAAGTATTTTATCCACCATATCTGTATGTTTATAGCAGGAAGCAAAGCCCCTTTTACATCATTGTGGACTACCATGTTATAAGTTATTTTCTGAATTTTTTTAACATTGATGAAATTGGATTAACTCTTAACATCTTAATATTTTAAGAATGTTGGTTGATTCTCCTCTGTATTATTAACTTTAAAAATCTATTTCAAGGTTACTTTAACTTTTCTCTTCTTTTGGTATTTTATTTTTAACTATTTTTTTTTTAACTTTTACATATGTCTGGTACATAATAAACATTCAGTAAATGTTTTCTTAGTGAAAAGAAGTTGAGTGTTTAATTTGTGCCACAGTGTTCCAGGTGATTTTAATTAGTTTTCATTTTAAGACTCCTGCATTTTAGAGTTAGACCTATAGACAAATTATATAAACCTATACACCAAATTATAAAGTAATAGTAATAACAATAGAAGTAATAATAAGATGCTAAATTTTTATACTGACCCAGCAGTATATAACATTATCACTGGATTATCAATGAGCTAATTGAGACATAGAGAAAGTAACTTGCCTACAATCATATAGGTAGCACAAGGCAGAGCTGGATTTGAACCAAGTCTGGCTCCAGGGGTCTATGATTTTAATCATTATACTATAACTTTTATATCCTTTTGAGGGATAGCACTCGTTATTTTTATATTCCTGCTTAAAAATTTTCCCCATTGCCTTCTGGATAATATTTGAATAAATATTTGATTACTTAAAAAAATTAATGTTACAATAAATTTTTAAATATTCCAGCCTACCTATTCTGTCACACCACATATAAACCTGCTTCTCCAGCTCCAGTTACTAACAGTTTTCCACAGGCACTATGCTATTCCATGCTTTCACATGTTTAATTGTATTCTCTCCTCTGCCTAGAATGCTTCTCCCTTCTGCTGCTTTCCTGGCTGAGTATGTACTTAGGAGCTATATTGCACGCTCTATTTTTTAATGGAAAGCTTCACAAATTTGTGTGTCATCCTTGGTTGGGCGGGGGGCATGCTAATCTTTCTGGATGATTACGATTTTAGTGTATGTGCTGCTGAAGCAAGTGTACTATGTCTCCTTTTGAAAGCCTTTATAGCTGCTCATTGAAAGAGTTGTTCTTTTCAGTGCTTTCCTAAATTTGTACTAGTTTAAAGTCCTTATTTCATTTCAACAAATTATTTTCTTTTCTCTCTCAAGTAGACTGCTTTCTCTAAAGTGAAATAGTGTGTTCTGCATATCTCTGTATCCTCATGGCCTGGTAATCATTACCTGGCACACAGGAGATGGTCAATAAATGTTTGTTGAATGAATAATTATTTCATTACTTGTTCTATAGGCCATCCAAAAGGGTTGCTTACTGCAGTATATTGTTGAATTTTTAAATAGGGCTATGAATTACTTTGTTAGTAACATTAGTGAATGATGTTTATAACAACAAGAAATTGCTATTTTGGAATACAAGTCAATAAGTTTCTTCTTAAAACATAACCTTTTGCTTATTTACTGTAAAACAACATAGGTTCTGTTATTTAAAAGCAGTTCTATTTAGCTCTTCAGTTGAAAATGATTCTTTGGTGAAAAACTAACTTAGTTATAAGTATATATTAAGAAGAATGGCTAGTCTAGCTGTTTTAATTCTTCATTTTAATATTTTTCCTCATGGAAAAATATTTAATGAAAATGTGCCTCATTAAACAGGAGTTACTATTGTTTTGTGGCTTTTTTTTATTAATTACTATACTGACATTATATATAGAAAATATTAATTTTTATCAAAATTCATCACATTATTCACCACCAAATACAGTTTAAATAAATAAAGACGATACAAAACAAGTAAATATTTGGGAGAAAAATTCTTTTAAAAACATATCAAATATGTTAATGGTTTTTATAGCCTCATTTTCTTACAACAGTATAGAAATTTAATTGTCCAATTTGGAGAGGGGGAGAAGTTTTGTTTCATAGCTTTTAAAACAGTTTAACTCTTGAAATGGCGTGAAAAGATAAGAAGAGAAAATTACTTGTTTCAACCTGGTAGGCAGTGTATCTGGGCTAGCACTATTTTTCTGCAGCTGAAATTCAAACATGAGGAAATTGCAGAAATTTACAATTCAATGTGTGTTTCATCAGGGAGAAATCCACAGATTGTTTTGACACTCAGTTAGAAATTCAGCATGAAGATGGACGTCTCATGAAATTTGCAGCTGCTGATTGAATTTATATTTCCATAAAGGCCATCAACAGTAGCAGCCTGCAGGGGAAGAGGGGGGAGAAATGACAAAAATCGTGAGGCTAGCATTTTTCCTCAGTGTTATAGTCGCAAATTACTGGTAATAAGGGTTTATACTGTCCAGGATTAAAGAAAACTATAGACAGCCAGAAGGGAAGGACTTCTTAGTTTAATTGATTTTAACTAAATGTGCCTACATATGATATCTAAATATGTGTTTAGTCATCTGTAGAAAATCTAATAGGTACCTAAAAATCAGTTCGTTTTTGTTACTTATTTAAATAGGAAAAAATGAGGTTGTTCTTAATGTTATACAAGGTTTTATTGTATAGATATTTCTAAGAGCTTTTCAAGAGAGAAGATGCATATTATAGGAACAAAATACAAATTTATTTCTTATGGGACTGAAATAATAATTTCATGTTCTTTCAGATAAGCTACAATTCAGTTTTGAGAATATCAATTCATAATTTTAAAATATTTAAACAATTTTTAATGGATATCCAAATAATCATAGAAAACAAGTTGCCTTTTCAAGAAAATTATTCCATTCTCATTTTAAAGTTTTTTTTTCCCCTCAAACAAAATGGACAAAAACATATTTCTTTTGTTTAAGATTTCTCTTTAGAGATTTCATGTTAAATACAGTTTTTAAATATCTGTGGATTATAGATGAATTAAATGACTTGGGAATGTGTTCATTGTTCCTGCAGTTCTTTGTCTCTGTGGATGATGTGTGCTTTAACCTTAACAGCATGCTCTCAGTTTTATTTGAAAATTAGAATGTATACAATTATATGTAAAAATAGTATTCTTAGTGAAAAAGATATTTAATTTACTATTATACAGCCTAAATATAAAAAGAGGATTACCTAGAAAATATGTGCATAATTATTGGGCTTTATTTTTTAACATACTATATTATAAGATTATAGAAACTAATTCTAGTTGTTTTGTTTTACATAGTTATAAATTTGAGAACATCTTATTTATCTAAAAACTATTCTAACTTTAAAGGACCAGTGTTTGGTTCTGATACCTGTGCCTAAAATATATATATGGACATTTTTTGAATTTCAAAATTTTTTTTTAGTGTCACATAAGCATTTTCAGGTTAGATGGCACTAGATGCCCATTCTGCTAGGAATCTGTGAATACTTGCTTATTCAATATCACTTCCCATTGTTTTACTCTCCATGTGTTAATACCAAAATCTGACAGTTAAATATTATTTTACTTCTTATACATTGATTTACACACTAAAGCAAAAAACTATTTTATGAAAGATGTGCCAGTGCCCAACACATAAACTTTATAAGTATTCGGAAGAACTGTTTTCATATTTGTGTTTTTCCTCATGGCATTACTGAGGTATACACATTTTTTATTATTCATTCAACCTAGATTTTCCTCTTTCTTCCTCTTTCTTTCCACCCCATTTGATGACTTGCCAGTTTCAACATCCTAAAATATATGCTTAACTAAATTAATTTAGTGCTTATTTAAAGTCATCTTTTAGTTGCTGTCAATTCTATCTCATTCAATCATTTCAATATCCTTATTTGCCATTTTAGTTTGTTGTCCGTCCCCATGTTTATTTTTAGCTTTTAAGCATGGGATATAATTTGTTCATATTTAGAAAATATTTATTTACTGAATCTATGTATCAGAGACTATTTTAGGTTCTGGAGATACAATAATGAATAACATAAAATTTCATCCCTACCTTTATAGAGTTTGTATTTTAGTGGAAAAGGCAGATAATAAATATATAAATATGTAATATAATGTCAAGGAGAAATATGAAAAACTGTAAAGCAAGGACTAACATGTGAAAGACCATAGTAGCTAGATAGAAGGTTCCAGAAGAATCTCTCTGAGGATGTGATGTTTGAATTTAAAACTAAGCAAAATGAGAGAGGAATACTACAGAAAAGGTTCTAAGATATTTCCCCTTCACTTTATAGCATGAACATACTTCCCCACCCTATCCCCCCTCCTTGATTTTTCTGGGGGGTATGTTTCCCATGTATCCCCACCTTCTTGTCTCACTTAATATAAGTAGTCTGAAATTATGCTTCTACAAATTCCATAGCTTTTCCATGCTTATACAATTTGTATATTCATATTGCACAGAATCAAGATTTTTGGGAAATAATGGAATTATTCGATTTACCCTCCCTGTCACTTATGTTTCTTAGCAATAAATCATGAACATCACTTAGATCAGAATATATAGAACTAACGTATTATTTCAATAGCTGTATGTATTTCCATAATATGATGTATTGCTGTTTATTTTATCATTGATACATTGAGGGACTCATGAGTTGCTTGCATGTTCCATAGCATCTTATACAAATGTCTTTTCCTACTCATGCTTTTACTTAAATTTCAGTAAATTATATTGCTACAGAAAAAGATACATGTAATTTATATTAATAAATATTACCAGAGTACTTTCCCCAAAGACCTTAGCAATTCACATTTTCATCAGCAGTGTGGCCAAATGTTCTTTTCCCCACAGCTTTACCACCACTAGATAACTTTGTTTAATGTTTTACCTGTTGTCTCTGATTGTTTTTAACTTCTGTCTCCCTGATGCTGAGTTTGGGGGTACTTTAGGTGTGGGTACTTTACTTCTTAAGAAATTCTACCATTTTAGAATTGTACAGACTAGTTTTCAGCACTCTTACCATGTTGTATTTTAATTACATGTTTATGTCTTTACCAGCTCTGACCCTCAATGCCTAAAGAACACAAAGCTTGACATATGGTAAGGAAACAGTTTAGGTAAATCCTTGCTTTCAAAACCAAATTTTTTCTGGGGAGAATGCTGATAATGGGAGGAGCTCTGCATGTGTGGGGACAAGTCCATAGAAGGCAAGTTTCTGTACCTGCCTCTCAGTTTGGCTTGAACTTAAAACTGATGTAAAGACTTAGTCTTTAAAAATAAAAAATCCAATGTACGACGTTTTTTATTACCAAGCATGTTAAACTATCTGTGCTATTGATTTCTCTTTGTCAGTACAGATAAGCAAGAGTTGTTTACATTTTAAAGTTGTTGTCTGGAAGGTCAAATGCATTTTTTGACAGTATTTTTCTTTGAGGTTTAAGCCAACATTTATTTTAAGTTGCTCATTACTGTGATAAGGACATAGTTATTTTATTTGTCAGATTTTTGCCAAATACTAGCTTTTTTTTTCTTCTGACTCTAAAATCATGCATATTCTAGGTCTGTGCTCTAAAATTTTTTGAAGTAATATATCGACACTGAGAGCATTCTGGGCTGCAAGTGTATTCACACAAGCGTGTGATGTGTACAAGTAAGGTCAGGGGAGGCAAAAAGCTGTTTTTATCATCTGCCAAGCTGTTTTGTTGTAGCCAGATAGAAGTATATTTCTTTTTGCAGATTTAAAATGTAAAGAATACATCCCACTTGTCAACTAGACTTTTCATTTTAGAGTCTTCATGTTAAAATGTCCCTTGGCCATCAGCTAGCCCAATCTTAACAGTCACCATTCTAGAAGGTTATGTTTATAGCTAGAATCAGTGTATGTTGGTTTCTGCCTTTCTTTATTCTTTAAAGCATCTGGGAGTTATGATAACCTATCAAGAACCTGGTGACCATGGAAAGTAATGTGCATTAGCATTTCGACTCTAGAAAAAAAGGAAAATGTGATCATGATTAAGCCCTGGTTGACAGAGATCATGCTCTTAAACCACTGGTTCTCAAAAGATAATTCAGTGTTTATAAGAGCAAAAAAGCCACTTGGTAGTTCAAGTTTTTACTGAAGGGTGAGTATGAGAATCTTTGGAACTGAATTTAG